GAAAGACAGCTGATAACCAGTAGGTGAAACTTGTAGGTGAAACTTAGAATTATAAGGCCATCATCACGGGAATGACAGTCGGTGGACCAATTTTAAAGTACCAAAAAACCATGAAAGTATCCAATAGTTTGACTGAGTCATGTGAGTTTGGACGAATCTTCAAGAATCTAATCCGGCTTCACATGTTTAGACTCTGGACTATCATGTTGGCACATCACAAATTGAAAGAGGCATGAAGCTTATTTCTCAATTGCTACCACGCCAGAATCCTCCAACGTGCTTCTTTTCTGCTTTGGAGGTGCGACCCATTTTTTGGAAACCAATGCCGTCATTGGTCAGGGTCATGTCAATGGACATGCTGACATGCTCCATAATTTGTGGAAACTGTACCTCATAAATCCAGATTGGTTCTCAAATTTTCAAGACTTCTATTGGTGTTGGGATTTTCTTCATTTCTATCATTTCTCGTAGTTTCCAGGTGTGCTTTGAATTTGGCCGCATGCAAGCAGAAGTTGGACAAGTCTGATTAGGTTCGGCACTACTACATTGGTAGAAACACTGCTGCAATGTGGTCCAGTTTGGTTTCCATTTGGGCCTGCATGCATATACATTTAATATCATTTAATTTCAATTAGTTTCATATAATATATACCTGCGCCTTCCAAAGGTTGCATTTTTCTGTTTTTTCAAGGAACACTGTTCTTTCATCCCAAGTACACTTATTATTGCTACGAGCGTTTTTCCAACAATTGCATGTTGGTAAGAAATTCCTATTCTTGAAACGGCGTTTTTTTCCCGACCATAATTCTTTGACAAATGTTCAAACTGGGCAAACGACATTTTTTTTGCAAAACATCATTTTTGGGTGGAGCGACTAAAATTTTAGTTGTTTCAAACAACGGCAGAAATTTCGCACCCAGGGAAGTTCCAGGTATACGGTATAAATATATATGAGATACGGTCAAAATAAGCGTAGACTACTTTAGTAAGGGAGGGTCCAGCTTTGTCCAGAAAGTGCACCAAACCATGTAAAGCGATAGGGCCCCCCCAAAAAGCGATAATTTGTAACCATATGAGAGTGCATTAAGCTTGGTGTAAACCAAGAACAAATTGTTATGCACCTTCACGATGGGCAAAATTGATGAAGAAGATTCAAACTGCAGTGCCCACGTTTCTTGCAGTGGCCATGTCATTTGTTGTCCAAGGCTATTGAACCGTTGCTTTTTGCAGGCAGTTTGCTTTTTTTCTCCCAGGTCCCAAAGCAGTAGAATTAAACTAAACTAAATGACTAAATGCAATTGAATTCTGAATTAAAGCAAAAACTAGTTTTAAATCAATTCTGATTTTTGTTTATGTTCTGTATAAATGAAATGTGGTTTCCTTTGTTTTTTTCTTACCTTCCTTTTACTTTCCATTTAAAACTAAACGCAATTGAATTCTGAAGTAAATCAAACTTGATTTTGAATTCAATTCTGAATTCCATCTATTTTTATTTTTTCCTTTTTCCCCACCTGCCAGGTGAGGGTTGTTAGATTTTATGTCAGTTGCCTCCTCCTGCCTCGTCCTCCTCCTCCTCCTCCTCTCCTCCTCGTCCTCGTTCCTCCTTCGTCCTCCTTGTCATCCCTTGTCGTCCTGTAGTCCTCGTCGTCCTCGTCGTCCTCGTGTTCCTCGTCCACTGCGACCGCGATCCACAGTGTTCTTCTTTTGCCGGACTCAACCACGGACCATCCACGCCCAGTGTTTCCCTGCAGGGAACCTCACCCACGACCTCCACGCCCAGTGTTCCCTGCCGGATCCTTCAAAACCACACCAATCCACGCCCAGTGTTCCCTGCGGACTCAACCGCGAGAAGACACGCCAAGTGTTCCCTGCCGGACCTCAAACCGCGGAGGATCACGCCAGTGTCCCTGCCGGACCTCAACCGCGAGGAGTCGCCCGCCAATTGTTCCCTTGCGGACCTCATGTAGGAAAGATATGGGACCAAAGGAAGGCCAGATTAAGAAATGGCCAGAGATTATACAAGATAGAATGCCAGAAGATATGTCAGATAGAATGCCAGAAGATTTGCCAGATAGAATGCCAGAAGATATGCCAGAAGATATGCTAGAACATATGCCAGAAGATATGCCAGATAGAATGCCAGAAGATATGTCAGATAGAATGCCAGAAGAAATGCCAGAAAGAATGCCAGAAGATTTGCCAGATAGAATGCCAGAAGATATGCCAGAAGATATGCCAGATCATATGCCAGAAGATATGCCAGAGAGAATGCCAAATAGAATGTCAGAAGATATGTCAGATAGAATGCCAGAAGATTTGCCAGTAAGAAAATGTATAAATGTCATGGTGGGGATCACACGAAGTAAAGTAATTGTTTCATTTGATTCATTTGTCCTTTTCAATTCCCATTTCTCTTCCTTGTTTGATCATCCTGGTGTTCTAATTTAGCGATAACCTTAGCGATAACCTAGCGGTAACCTTTTGTTTGAAAAGGGACCCC